CCAGCACCACATGCCAGCCAGCCCCGCCCCCTGGTGGACTGAGCTGGCCACACACACACACACACACACACACACACAAATAAATAAATAAAATTTTAAAAAAATAAAAATAAAAAAAAATAAAAACACAAAATGAAAGAATCACATAGTTTACGAAGTATTCCAATTGTTGGCATTTTATATTATTACATATAACTTTTCAAAGAAAAATTCCTTTAAAAAAAAGTAAGACCTCCTTAGAAAAATACTGGTTTTACTGAACAAAAGCAAAAAAGGGAACCAGGCACTGTGGTGCATGTGTGTAGTGCAGGTTCCCATGGAGGCTCAAACAGGAGGATCACTTGAACCTATAATTCAAGGCCAGCCTGGGCAACACAGCGGGACACCTGTTTCAGGAGAGAGACAGAGACAGACATAAGGAGCAAGAGCACGTGAGGTCATTTCTTGCACCGGCGGCTGAAACTTAGCACTGTCTTACTTGCTAAGAAATGCTTCATGAACACAAGCCTTCGGTGTAACATTAATGGTTCTTAGTTCACACGCTTACCAATACATACAACGGATTGCTAAAGAGGAAAAATCGATTTTTATTAATAAATGGCAAGGATATTGATGCTCATGTGATTAGACTAAAGTCAGGACTTCTTGGACAGTGGAAAGCAAAGGACCACCCCAGACCCTTTTGTTTGTGTGGTACGAGGGAGTGAAGCCAGGGCCTGTGTGTGCTGGGAAGTGAGCTCCCGCTGCGCTGCCAGCCCAGGCCCTCCTGGCCTACAGCCCTTTCCTCTGCACTGGACACTTCCCCATTGCTGTCTGAAGTTACTCTTGTCCACATCCTCTCATCTTTCTCTGATTAAGAATTTGTTCCTTAAGCACTCATAAGTGATTCTACAGATGACATTTAAAAATTAAAAACATCCAGAATCTCACAGGATAGCTACACTATGCTTGCAAAATGTAGAATGGCAGAATTACCATTATCCCTCCTTACTTCATACAAGCAACATAAAAGCAACTCTTAAAGTTACTTTGGGCGATAATGTAAAAACTGGTATTTTCTGTCTTTTGTTCTACTAGAACCTTCTAAAATGACAAAAAGTATAAATACCAAAATAAAGTATTAATCAAATCAAATGTTTCTCATCCTATGAGAGGACACTTTGATTTAATCCCAAAATGTTACTCCTTAAGACTATATAAATTTTTCACTGGAGACATGGCGGCAGCAGCAATGATGGGGTGTCAGTAATACTTTCTTGATGGCAAACAAAATTATGGTCTCTTTCATAATAGATCAAGTAAACTATCATAGTATAATGATAGTAATATCAATTACATTTTTGAGGATCTTCAAAAAAAAAAAGACTATATAGATTTTCACATTAAAGCATTCAAGTCATTTCTCCGGACAGAGTAGTGACACTACAGTATGAAAGTTACGGAGAGACAAGGCACGTGTAACATTCAGAGTAAGTTTTGTTTGAAGGGGGAAGAAACTTCAAGAACGGTAAATTTATAAAGCACAGGTCCAGAACAGATTTTATCCAGGTGATCTACTGATCTATTTGGACACCAGTTCCTTTGACTGTAAAGCAGAAATCATGCGTATTATTTATCCTCGAAGGTCCTCTGTTTTCACACCAACTCTATGTACAAATACTTTTTTCAGTGTCTGACACATAGCTGGTTCTCAAAAGTAACAGCAGAGCTTCTGTTTATTATGTCAGTGATGCGCACGGCCCCAGGGGGAGCAGACGTCACCTGCTGTGAGGCAGCCCGCTGTTGCTGCTCCAGTTTGTCTGCATCGCATCTTTTCTGTGAGCAGGCTGTCAGTAAAAATCCATGGGAATCACAGGGACAAGGGATGCTTTACTACTCAACGAAGTCCTCAAGAGATTCATGGGTTCACCACTACTAAAACCACAGGTGGACTCCGCAGAGTCCAGATCCCTGCTCACAGAACTGGCAGTGTCTCCAGTCACTGGTGGGAGAGTCCCCCTCACTGTGTCTTTGTTGTGCTTTCCCTTGTCCCAGGAGCGCACCTGCCAGACTGCAGTCCACTCATTCTGTCCCATAGAAGCAAGTGCTCCTGATCAGTCACCAGCTACGTTTTAGGGCTACAAAACCTGGTTCCTGCCACAAGAAGTCCACATTACATACCACAATGCCCATCGCAGGCTGCTCCTGGCATGTCTGCACCCATCACACAAAACACCTTAAGATTCTTCAGACTGCTCAGTTCCTCTAGCACAATCATAAACATCAGCACCAAAAGGAACCCTAAAAGACTACGTATGACATTCATTTACAGAGAGCACATATTGCCCATCATGATATAGTGACCCTACCCAAGTCGCTCAGCTAATCTGTGGCTTAGCCTGAAGCCCTGACTCTTCACCATCATCTTGTCAGACCTCTTTCTGTAATGGCCTTGCTTCGTGTAAATAAACACAGACAGATGTAGCCTATCAGTGTCTCCTGACATTGTCCCTCTGTGCTTCCTTAGTTATAAAACCAGTCCAGAAGTAGTCTATCAAACATGCCCAGGAAGCTCATCTGAAGGGACAAATGAATCACTTTAATTGAACATTTGCATTTGAACAGAAGATAGACCTTCTACCCACTATTTCTAATACAGGAATAATAAACCTCAGAAGAGAATGAGTTATTTGTACAGCTCTTTGGGTGTAGGGAGTTTTGTCAAGCCTGTCATATCAGTATAGCCCTGCTGTGTACAACACTAGTACACAGAAGGACCACTGTCCTAATACGTACTGAATGAACAACTAGGAAAGGAAGAAAGGAAAGGCTTCAAGACTTCTGAAACTTCAACGTAAGAATCTTCCTTTTATCCCAGAATAGATCAGGTTTTGGGTAAGCATGTCAAAGTACTTTTAAAAGGCTGCATAGATCCAAAAAAGCGGATGGTGTTACGTAAAGTACATATATTCGGTGTCATTCTGAATTCTTTTCCCTGGCATACACCTACAATGTAAACAGGAAAGCTCTTATAAACAAATTTAGATTTTAAAACTTCCTCACGGACATGCTAGTAGCTCCAAGAGCCTGACACAGTAGAACAAAACAGTTTCAGATCTGCCAGATGACCAAAACTTTAAAATACAGGGCATAAGTTTACAGGGCAGGATTTGGATCAGAGATAGAACATTTGCCTAGCATGTGCAAGGTACTGGGTTCATTCCTTCATACTGAAAAAAATGTATAGATGCCCTCCCCACACACAGACACTATTTAGTTTTAAAACTTTAGTCCCTCTAGGGCCAGGGAGATAGCTCCGTGGAGTAAGTGCTTGCCTGGCACGTGCAAGGTCCCGAGTATGCATTTCTTTAATACGAGACGTGGGTGGGGGACGCTCTACACTAGCTGGCCACGCCGGAAGGCTGAATGCACGGATGATACAGTTGACCTAGTTGATATACTGTCTAAATAAACAGTGGAATCATAAACATTTTGTGCTCATTTTATTATTGAAAAATAGCTGGGTGTGGCAAACACTTATAATCCCAGCTACTTTGGAGGCTGAGGCAGAAGGAGTTCAAGGCCAGCCTGAGCAATTTAGCAAGACCTTACCTCAAAATGTGATGTCCAGTACTGAAGGGGAGCAAGGATGGAAGGAGAAAGAATCCAGTGAACAGAGAGAAACTGAAAGAGAATAGACATGATCAGGAAGCATGACTCTTAAGGGGCCAGAAAGCACACTCATCCTACAAACCCTACCTAGAAAGGTCTTTCTCTAAGACAGGAAGAAAGAAAATGACAGAAGACTAGAGGGAGACACTTCAGGTTGGGAAATGGGGTGTGATTTGAACTGTTCCTCAGGGAAGGCAGTAAAGGGGGAAAAAAAACCAACTAGGTGGCACAGATGTCTGAGAAGGCAGAGACAAGCTTTATCTTCTGGGAATGAGGAAAGTGTCACCCAAATCAAGAATGTGAAGGGCCAAGGATGTAGCTCAGTGGCAGAGTACTGGCCTGGTATGCACAAGGCCCTGAGTTCAATCCCCAGTCCCACCAAAAGAATGCAAAGGCTGTGGAATTATTTGGATCTACTTTTTTCAGAGCACAAGGCCAAAATCTACACTTCAGGGCATAGGTTACACCTGAACAGCACTGTGGGCAGGGGTCCACGCCCAGTGCTGTTCCAAGGAGCACAGGAGGAGGGCAGAGGCCTGCTTTCCAGGGGGTCCACAAGACAGACTTCACCCACCCTAAGGAAACGCAAGTCTGGAAAATGACACACACAACTGAGGCCTTTAATTCCATCTTGGAGACTGTAAGATTGAACTTTCTCATCTAACAAGTCTTCTTTTAACTTTTATGTTCTGTATGTAAAACACTTCATGAGCCAGGGATTTCCCCATACCTTATATTCTTCCCCAAAATGTTTCAAAATTCTCAACAGAAAAATTAGTAATACTACATCAATTCTATTAAATCCATGGAAAACGCAAATAAACCCAAGCCTGAAATTAGCTAAGGAATAAAAGATGTCGCCAGAGGATGGTAGAGACCTAAGAGGGAACGTGAGGCCTTCTGGCAGGCTGCTCCTAGGTGAAGCCTACCATAATGACACCTGCACCAAGTCTTCAAATACATCTCCAGAGGCAGTTTTTTAGCAAAAGATCATATGAACTTAAGGGGAAAAAACAAGGCAATAGGAATGTATCGTAGTAATATTTGTAACCTTTTCTAGTTGCCTTTTAGATTCCTACATGTTATATCGAGTATATCCTTCCCTTTATGCCCACTGATTGCTTTTGATTCCTTACAACAGGCCTAACTTCAAAAGAAAACAAAAACAAAGCAACCTGCAGCTTCTGTTTCGTTTATGCGCCCCAAATGGTCTCCTGCTCCCAGTGTATGGTCAGTCCCTCCTCGGCCACCTGTTCCCCTCAGCGTTTGCCGGACCTACATGAAGAACTGGTGCTTGAGCTCCCCCTACCCGTACCTGGCCATATGCTGCACAGGTTTTAAGAAAAAGCATAGGAAGGTAAGGCAGTCTTCCAGGTCAAAAGCCAAGGGCCAGCTGGGCACGGTGGTAGTGCCCAGAATCCCAGCATTTCAGAAGGTGAGGCAGGAGAATCTCCACGAGTTGGAGCCCAATCTGGGCTGCACAGTGGGTTCAAGGCTACCTGAGTCACACAGTGAGACCCTGTCTCAAAATAAAACAAGGACAACAAACAAAGAGGAAGACAGAAGCAAAACAAAGAAAAGAAAAGGAGCCAACAACAAAAAGCCCTGGATCTGTCTCCATCTCAAGGTCTGTCTGTGCAGGATGAGATTCTTCACCGCAGCGCCAGCCACTGTTGCTCCGTGGGGAGGGTCACTACCCTTGGGTGAAGCTGCCGAAGCCCTAATGACAGGAGGAGCTGGCCGGGGTCACTGGTCCCAAGCCCTGCCAGTTCATGCTGTGACAGCACCTGTCATCTGGGCTCCTTCTGCAAAGAGTCTGAAGGAGGAGGTACTGAAAATGCATCATTTTAAACAAGCTCTCCAGATAATTCTGAGGCTAGTAATTTTCTCACTCACTGGATCTTCTGCTCTGTAAGTACTTACTGTGGCATTAGAGGTACGGAAAAACACAAATATGATCACTAGGCTTATAACACCTCTAGTCTGGAAAGAAAATGAATAACTGATCACACAAATAAAATATAAATTGTGGCAAGTATTGGTCCATGTTCTAGACTTGACCTAAGCCACTGCCAAATGGAAAAAGAAAAAAAACTTCTTCCTCAGAAGCTTGTTATCGTCTTCATCTCTGCTTTTCACTTTTCCTCTTTTCCTTTCCTTTTCCTTCCCTTTCCTTCAAGCTGGGCTGTGGGTCTGTTAACATGAAAATACAAACTGCTGGAACTACCCACGTCCCAGGCCACATGGCTGACAGAAAGATGTGGGGCACAGCAGCGGAAATCTACCTCCGGGCTTCCCTCCATCCTTACAGCAAGGCGATGATCTGAGCTAGCTACGTCTGGATGCTTCGTCCCTAGGTCTTTATTGGTAAGCTGGATGGCTGCTGGCTGCCCCCGCCCCAGCACTGCACTTGCATGACCTTCAAGCCTACTCACTCGGTTGGAGGCAGCTCTGTTCCCTCACCCACGAGCAGCTTACTCATCTCCTCACTTCTTCCACATCTATTCGTTAATGCCATCCACTCCAGTGTCCATGCTCGCTGACCGTGGCACACATCTACCTCCTTTCTCTGCCTGACGCTGGGTCTCCTGAGGAAAAGCATTAACTTTCATGATGAACCCAAGAAGCTGTAATCTGCTACTACTAAATGAGCCTCCATTCTTTCGCATTTTCCGCAAGGTTCCCCGGCATGCTGCCCCCACAGCCTCTCTCTCCTTCAGGGTTGCAGAGCAAAGAGCCAAGTTACTTCTTAGCTAACACAGCTTGGCATCTATATGCTGCTTGCCAACCCTCAAAGCCCTCCTAGTCAAGGTTCCCCAAGTCTATTTTCACCTTTATCCCTCAAATAGCCACTGTTATTTAGATAATCCATATATATGTGTATCAATTAAAATGCTCGGCACAGTGCCTACTTGGCAAGTATGAAGTGCTGAGTTCGATTCCCAGTACCAAAAAAAAAAAAAAAAAAAAAAAAAAAAATTAAAATGCTACCTGAAAGCCAGCTTCAGTTCTTATCTTTGGGTTGGAGTGGGCTGAAAAGACTTGTGCCAAGCAGGCAGAGGGACAGCAGCTTCAAGTAAAGCAATAATCTGAGGAGAAAGCTTCTGGAAGAATATGATTGTAGGAAGCACAAGTGCGACAGGTGTTATATACCAAACTCACTGCTGGTACCCACTTCTGAGATCAGAATGACCAGTGACAGCTGGTAAAATATATCACTATTTATTCTTAAGCCTATTAATATAGGAGGGAGCACTACTGGCCTAGTGACTTCAGTTTCTATGCAAATTTGTTCCATAGATGTTTTCTTCACAGAGAAAGTGTAGACGGGGGAGTGTTTCTACCTCTCCCCTACCATGACAGTGAACGGCATAATCTCCGTCTCCCACAGAGGAATCCCGAGGGCCCCAAACAGTTTCTCCGGAGGCAGCCTTGTGTTCTGGGTGTTCACAACAGGCTGGTAGAGCGCTCAGGGCACAGCTTTTAGGCAATTGTCTCCTCAGTGCCAGGAAACAAACCACTAAGCACTCTACACTCACAGTTACTTTGCAAAGCTCTTGGTCCTTTACCCGGCGCTGCGTCTGCCTAAAGCAGACCTGTGTAGCCACAATGGCTGCATAGAGAACCTACCCTGTGGTCATGTTAAGACCAGGAAAAGCAGTGTCAACCATCTTTAAAGCAGAAGCCTAAAGCTATCAAAGGTATTTGTTCACACTGTAGTTACTGTGTCTTCAGTACAGACCATTCTCTCTCTCCCTGCTCCTCTCCCCGCCTCCAGTAATGCAGACTGTGCACAAAGCCCTCACATTAGGTACAACCTCAGCCCTTTCTTACAATTTTGCTACAGTGACTAAGTCACTAATTTCCCAGGCTGGACTTGGATTTATGATCCTCCTGCCTCAGCTCCAAGTCTTTCAAAATCTTCTTACACGGGAGATTTTCCTCTGCTCCTTGAGTCCCATCAGTCAGGATATTTCCTCCGCTTCTGCAGAGTGCTGCAAGGAAAATGGACTATCAGACAGCCAAGAAGCGATCACCCAGCGGTAGCAGCTGCGCATCAGCCCAGACCTGCAAAGGTATCACAGGCTAGAGAAACCCGTTTCCTGCTAGGGGACTTCACCTTTCTTGGCTTAGAAAGGAAAATGACTACCAGGCTGTCTTATCAGAGTGAAAGGAAATAATCAACACTGCGGTAATTAATTTATACTCTGTAAGTCCACAGCACAGACTGCAGTGTGAAATTCAGACCTGTCATTTGTTCAGCAGGCCAGAAAACCAGCTGAGCACCAGAAAGGCAGTGAAATGAGTGAGAAAGCACGGGCTGTGGAACCTGAGGCAGCTGACTCTTCTACTCTGAAAGGCTTTAGCTAGATGACCCCCAGAAAAGTGCACGGACGCAAAGGTGGGAGTGCCGAAAGGCGATGAATGATGGGGCATTAGAGCCGGATGTGACTGTTAGACTGAGCTCTGATCCGAGGAGGCAGACCAGAGGGGTGTGGCCTGAGGAGCTTGCTCCTTGTTAAGTTCCTCCACTCTGCTTCTCCAGGGCCTGAGCCAAGCAGCTTTCCTCTGCCCCGGCCTTTCTACTCTGCTGCTGCACCTTCAAGCTGACCAACTGGGGACTGAAGCCTCTATAACCATGAGCCAAAATACGCCTTTCCTCCTTTAAATTATGGGTGCCTGGTATTTTGCCCCAGCCACAGAAAGTGACTAAAACACCTATTTAGCAAAACAGAAGCAACACTAGCAATCAGGCCACTTCACTGCTGTGCCTGCAGGTGTTCACGCAGCAAGGGCTCTGGGCCAGCCCCGACACGGTAAGCCTCAGCTAAGTAAGGTACTTAAGTAAAGAGACCCTGAAAGGGAGAACGCACACAGCCCCGCCTGCTGCATCAGACTGAGTTGCTGCCTTCAGGAGGAAGTTGTGGGCACCCAAGAATCCAATTTTTTGTTTAATAAAAAATATTCCCAAGATATTTTAGAAAGGAAATGTGAAAATATTATTTAAAATG